ATGTGTCTTAGCAGTGTGTGGACATAACCCCCCAATGATAAAAATCCATTCACATTTGTTTTAATCCCCCCCAAAAAATAAACAGTCTCAATTATCAAGCCGTTTTTGATTTTCTGAGCAGTGTGATATCATACTGCTCAGGCCCCACCCACAATCGCTGACAGAGTGTCCGGTATTAGCATATTTCCACCATTTTCGAACAGCTGTAGCAAAATGTCTCATAAGAGATGCAGGTGTTTTGTGGCTGGATGTAAAAGTGAACATAAGGCCGGTTTCACATTGCATTCAGCATGCATGTTAAAAAATTTGTGCATTCACATCGGGAGCAGGAGCAGCACGTGAGTGTCAAGCAGTCATGCAAAATTTCAAGACTTTAAAACTTTCAAGTTTATAACTGACCAAGTTCTAAAAACAAATGTATAGTTGTCTTTGTAAAGAAATATGTAGCTTTGGAGCCGCTGCTGTGACGCTGTACAAACGCATCCAGTGTTTAATCACGCGAGTCTGCAGCTGCAGTGACGATGAAGTTACGCTGACATGAAGCTCAAGCCTGTGGTGTGAAACAGCCATAAGAGTCTTAATTTTCTCTCTCGACATCAGAGCCACTTAGGATGCCAGCCACCCCCAACACAGCCCCCAAAAAAAAAAAAAAAAAAAAAACGACGAGCTGGGGAAGTCCTCATGGCCGCAAAGTGGATTACTTCACTTCTGAAAATTACAACTTGGCTGGTACACATAATATATGTAATGTTTTGGTTGGTCTAAGGAGATTTGGTTTGTATATTTGGGGTTATTGAAATGCTTTAAAAATCATGTTCCTTAATCTAAAATATGTTATTCCCTACTTAATATGCTGTATACCTTCAGGAAAACATTCAACAACATAAGGGACACTGTAAATACAATATGAATCCTGTGAGACCAAGGTCTTCCACAGATGCATCACTATACAGTGCTGCAAGTTTTGAATATTATTACTTAGCATTAACATGGATATAAAAAGTCTTAAACTCACCCAAAAGTGATTACACACTTATGAAACAGACTTTCTGTTGTTGCCGAATAATATAAATATATCCATTTTATGAGTTTATGAGTAAAAAAAACGCAGAGTGGAAACTAAGGAAAAATTCTATGTCTGACTTTAATAAGGCAGCCTTTTTTCCTTGATTTAAGTTGTATTAAATTAATCATAAGTGACAGTAAATACATTGATAATGTTACAAAAAAAGAAAAAAATATTTCATTTCCACAAAAATATTAATCAGCAATATTTTCAACATTGATAATAATAAAAATATATATATATATTTCTTGAGCTTGCTAATGAGCATATTAGAATGATTTCTGAAAGATCATGTGACTGGAGTAATGGCTGCTGAAAATTCCTTTTTTTTTTTACTATATTTTGAATCAAATAAATGCACCTTTGGTAAGGATAAGAGATACTTTCAAAAACATTTTTAAAATCTCATCGGCCCCAAATCTTGGAATGGTAATGTAGCTAGCTTCTTCTTCTTCTTCTTCTTTTTTAGTAGCTTGTAGTGTTGCTAACTGCTTTTTCAAAAAGGTAGCATAATTGTACTTTAAATTATATTTAAAATTTCTGATTACCTTCCCCAACACCGTTCCCTGGACTATTTTTCCCCTTCTGGTGAAAAGAAGTCTCCCCAAGTCTCAGTCTCCCCTGCTATTATCTATGCTAGCTGTTCCCAGGGCATCGCCGGTGGCTGACACACACCAGTTTGAGCTGTGCGAGTGAGGCCTACAGCCTCGTCTCATCTCAGTTCAGGTTCTATCAGCAGCACCGAGCACTTCCTACACACAGGCTGTCTGCCTCCACCACACATCTGCCTCAGTTAGTTGCACCATCATACGAGCGTTGAGTGTAGACCCCCACCTTCGCCCAGGGGTCCTGCCTTCAGTCAGAACCGTGTGTAACGCTTGTTAAAGGATGTGAGTTCAGTCCCCCTACCAGAGTCACAGAAGACAACAGAGCCGCCCGTGACAGACTCTCCCATTCCCTGCCTCCGACAGCTGCCTCAGAGGACTCTTACTTTTCTCTCTATCTCTCTCTCTCTCTCTCTCTCATGTCTTTTCCTTCTATTTAAATCCAGCAGCAAATTGGAACAACAGTAATTAGTCGGTTAAAGTGCCTTCAGTGAGACACCAAGCTTTAGAATCCGGTGCCAAAGTTCAACACGCTGAAATGAAATTTAAACTCATTAAGGTGTTGAATTTTTATGGCTGGCTGCTGTTTTCTCAGAGTGTCCCAGGGCGCCTGGCCTTTTGATCGACTGCTGTAAGGACTCCGGATTTCTCTGTGCCTGGCGAACTCCGGCGCTCATGACATTTGCACAAGTGTCATAAAACAAGCGCTCGCACCTGGCCCCCTCCCTCCTCGCGCACACATGGGGTCAGTGTAATATTTAATAAAGGTGTGTGTATAATCAAGCGGAATTAGCATTCGTGTTCTCCTTCCACCCCCAGAGGGGAAGGAAGGAGGGGTTGGAGGGAGGAGTGCTGCTATAGTACACTCATCACTGACTGATCTTTTCCAGTCTGACCCTCAGATTTCATTAATTATGTCCATGACTAAAACAAAGGCGGAGGGGAATTATGCCTTTCATAAGCAGAGCACCAGGGGAGCTTTCACTCTGTGTCTTTTGTTTGGTCAACCGAGTCTGAGCGTCTGTGGACCAGAATGCATAAGTTGTGTGAGCCGCACGGTTCTGCTTAGAGTGAGGAGTCGGGTTTTGTGTTGATAAAAATTTACATAACATGTCAAAAAGATGCAAAGAGATAAAAAAAATATTGAATTTGTGTAATATTATTGTAGAAACAATATCAAAATGACAAAACATTAAACAAATAACTGACAGATGATCGAAATTCATCATACTAATGCATCACCCCTACAATATAGAAACTGCTGATAACTGATAAATTGATATTAAAATATAATACTGTTTTGACAAAATAATTTACAAATTATTTGAATTTATTTATTGCAACTTTATATTGTATATTATTTTGAGACATGCTAAAGATTATATTTAACAATTTAATTATATTGTAATATAATTTATTTAACTTTAGTTTAATTAAAATAATAAAAAGTTATTAAAGTTATTATTACTAAGTGGGATAGCAAAGCAATCAAAATGTGTAAATTGGGAAAAATGAGCAGCGGTCCTGGAGAGCCGCAGCCCTGCAGAGTTTTGCTTCAACCCTAATCAAACACACCTGAACAAGCTAATCAAGGCCTGAAGGGTTACTAGGAAGCTTCAGGCAGGTGAGTTTTTATTAGGGTTGGAGCTGAACTCTGCAGGACTGCGGCTCTCCAGGACCAGAGTTTGCCACCCCTGGTATAGAGAGAAGCGAGTAAAGAGAGACTTCACAGTTGAACTGTAACAGTGCAGGTTTAAACTATGAAGTGGATTTGGAGTGGGGTTTCTCTCACCAGTGAGAGGGGTATAAGAGTCAAGCTGGAGCAGAGTCATTATAAAACACTGAGTGGGGGGGAGAAATTGCTGTCACTCCATTCCACTCTCTGATTTCGAGTCGTATTCCTCCATGTGGCGATGGGAACAATGTAAAGTTCCCAACACAGCTAGAAATGATCATGGTGAGGTTGCAGGTGATTTCCGGGCAACCACAGCAGTGAATCATGCTACTATACAGGGTAGATTGAGATAAATGATCAGTGAGCAGGCGTCATCTTTCATGCTCGTGCCGCTGTCAGGAAGCATATGGGGACGGTGCAGAGGAATGGCCACAGTCTAATCATATGTGACGACTCTAATGAGTCAGTCACTTGTCATTAAGCTGTGCCTAAACCTTTCTAATAGAGTGTGGCTCATAAATCTATTTGCCGTAATCAGGAAGAAATCAGTTGCACAGGTTTAGATTTATTTCCTAAGTATTTAGTATGAAATTATGTCACAGGTAATGCACACGAGTGATGATTTGCTGGCTGCTTCCAGATGTTTATTCTGATGCTTCTTGACATTATTTATGTATAAACTCTTTACAGGTGCCTTGATGTGTACAGGCTAGTGTTGGGGGTAACGCATTACAAGTAACGCGAGTTACGCAATCAGATTACTTTTTTTCAAGTAACTAGTAAAGTAATGCATTACTTTTTAAATTTACAAGAAAATATCTGAGTTACTTTTTCAAATAAGTAACGCCAGTTACTTTTTTTCCCATTTATTGATTAACAGCTCTTCTGTCCCCATGTTGAGAGAAATCGGGAGTAAGATGTCACTGTAGTTCTAGAATAAATGTGAACATGCATTCATTAATGAGATTAATGCATTAATCTCACTCGAAAAAAAAAACTGATTCAGTATTCTTCAAAATGAATAAAAACAGCGAAATGTAACTCAGAATGTGATGCAAACCTGCAATAATTAAATGTTAAATAACACAAATATCCTTTATGTATTTAATCCCATTTTATTAACCAATGTCTTTGCTGCTGACCTTCAATGATCCAATTCAACCATACTAATAAGCAAAAAATTACTGTAGATAAACATTTGTGCTTCTTTTTTTATTGCTGAAGTGTGTTGAACTTTCTTCTTTTGTGTTCTATTGTACAGACGTGAATTTACTTTCTCTTCAGCCTGAGACTTATTCATTTAGCTTTTGGTGTGAAAGGGCTTTTACGTTTACCAAAAAATAGAACTTTTTTATATTAAAAACAAACAAGCAAGCCCTGCCGAGATTGAAAAGTAACGCAAAAGTAACGTAACGCATTACTTTCCATAAAAAGTAACTAAGTAATGTAATTAGTTACTTTTTTAGGGAGTAACGCAATATTGTAATGCATTACTTTTAAAAGTAACTTTCCCCAACACTGGTACAGGCAAATACATAAAGTCATAATTAATGTATATTGCGTATGCCTTTTCAAGGTAAACTAGATGTTTGTTTATTGTATACAACGGCCAGTAGCTTACTCATTTTTTCCACTTCCTCTTTCTCTAAAACAGCTACCCCTTGCATTAAGGCCATCAGTCCCAGTGAAGGCTGGACGACAGGGGGTGCCACAGTCATCATCATTGGTGATAACTTCTTTGACGGCCTACAGGTCATTTTTGGCACCATGCTGGTCTGGAGTGAGGTCAGTTACCTTTCTATGCAAACTTCTGCAAAAAAAAAAAAAAGAAATCCATGCCATGCTCTAGCCAAAAAACAGAACTGGGAATCACAACTAGGGTTAAACTGAATTTGAATACAAAGAAAAGGGAATTAATGCACCTTTTTAACTACAATAGTTAAGCAACTTAATTAGCAAATATGCCTGAAATGGAAGATGCATTCAAAATCCACTTGGCTCACAAATCTGAGAAGACACGTGCCAGTTTGAATGGGCATAATGCTTCTGTTTTCATTTTTGGTCAGCCAGTCTGTCTGTTTTCCTGTCTGTCCATCTGTTTTGGTCTTTTACTCACTCAGTTTCTGCATTGCTCATGTTGGGAAGAGCTAGATGAAAGAGGTAATTCTATAAAAAGCCTCTCATTGACAATGCCATATTTATCTGAGAGGTGAGAAGAGCAGTGCCTGGCATATGAAAGCCCAGCTAAGTGAGCAATGAAAGGGACAGTTTAAAGCCATGTAAAGCAGCACCAGTGCTGCTGGCTTTGAATATGACAGAGCGTTTGCAGGTAAACTGATCACTCACAGCTGCTTTGTAGTTGCACAGATCTTCTTCAAAAGGGATTGAGCACAGTTTCACAAACACTGTAAGTAGTCAAATCATAATCTAATCAGTGAATAATACAATACTGTTTAATAGCTCAGCTAGCATGGTTGCAGGTAGACAGGGGTAACTTAAACACACGTTTTTAAACTTTGTGAACTAGTTCTACAGTACAAGAGTCAGATGCAAAAAAGGAGGACAGACTTTTGATTATGTAATGACTTGGACTGTTTGCACCTCCAACAAACAAAAGCTTTGCTCTAATTGACTGGCTAGATTTGTGCCACCATATGGATCTAACAGAAAAGGTAATCTCTGACTCCAGTACTGACCAGTGACTTCTCATAACTCTCCATGCAGCATGGCATTTGATATTTTTCTTATACTAAGATGAGGGGCAAAATGAAAGGAGGAAAAACTGAAACACTGAAGCTCCCAACATCTCAAAATATACCGGAAGCTATGTTCAGAATAAAATACTTTCTCAGAAAAAAGGTACAAAAGCTATCACTGGGGCGGTGCCCTTTCAAAAGGTACTAACAGTTTGTACACTTTACGTACTAATATGTATCATTTAGGTGTAAATAAGATTTTTTACCTTCTAGCTTTTGTACCTTATGGTGCAGCCCCAGTGACAGCTTTGTACCTTTTATGTTTACTTACTTAATATGTAATGTATACTGCACAGTATACACTGTATGCTACCTACTGTTCTTTAATAAAAAAAAAAACATGAAACATTTAGAGCAACAATCAAGTAGGCCTATATTGTTGTCACACGACTTAAATATGTTACATGTGTGGAGGTGACCAATTATAATATTTAAAAGAAAAATTAATTATAAATAATTGAATGAAAATACAGTATATTTTTATATATATTTAAAAAATAATTGAGTAAAAATATTTTATGTTTTGGAAGTAAATGACCAAATAATGAATCATGAAAGAGAACGGATGATCAGTTCAGGTTCCTTTGTATTACTGGAAATGAAAGGTTGAACACATTGCATTGTGTTTATTTTAATATTTTGTTGCCTTATTTCAACTTACGTAATCTACCTGTTTTATTTTGACAACAACAACAAAAAAAAGAGCCAAAAAATAAAAAAACACACTTTTCATTTTCCCTTTCAGCTCATTACCCCTCACGCCATTCGAGTGCAGACTCCTCCCAGACACATTCCCGGGGTTGTGGAAGTCACTCTGTCCTACAAGTCAAAGCAGTTCTGCAAAGGTACACCAGGCAGATTTATCTACACAGGTAAGAATAACATTAAGCACCTTTAGATGTACTCAGCCAGCTGCGTACAACCATCATGTCTTATTGCTTTTCAACTGTTCTTGATTTCACGTCAGTCTGCGTTGAGTAAGTCACCCAGTGTTTCCTTTAGCGAGAAACCTACGGCATAGAGGAATCCTACCTATTTCCTGAGCACACAGCTTAATATGAACGGCTGTGCCTCGAACTCCAGGAAGATCCTGTAGCCTGCACAGATAAGGGAAATGTAAGACTTATCTTATAGAGGAAAAAGAGGTCACCTGTGATATCTGCTGGCTTCAAAATGAGTTTACTGTACACTCTACATATTGGGAGTTCAACCAACGAGAAGTAATTAACTTCAGACTTCCAGAAGTAAGGGAACCGCATGATGGAAGTATACTGTATGATAGAATCTAATGGTAAAACAACGTGAAATCAGTGGAGGAAGATGTGAAGAGTTTGTTTGCTGATCTTGCAGCTTTTTTAGTTTAAATTTAGAGTTTGCAGTCAAAGTACAAGCACAGCTTTTCTGAAGAGCGTTAAAACGCTGAAGGGAGCAATGTTAAAGGCCTGTCTCATCAATAGGTTTAAACAGTGCACAGCTGTGGGTATTGTTGGCTCAGTAGGTGTCTATGTATATGCTTGTGCATTCGTGGGTGTGAATGAGTATGCTCATTGGGTTTATGGCGCTGGACTTGGCTTCTTTTCATGGCCTATTCAGCGAGCACATGGGCAGGAATGGAGGGAGGGATTTAGACGTTCGCACACAACCATACAAACACACGTACAGCCACACACCCTCAAAAACAGAGGGCAGATGGTCACCCCGTTTTATGGCTGCACTTCTAGATGTGCCCCTTTTGCAAAAGCTTCAAGCTTAATAACCATCAAGAATGCTTTTGATTAAATATGCCGTTTTTCATGCACACAGCACTCAAACTCAGTTTGAAACTCTATGCTGTTAATGACATGAGACCAAATGTAGGGCTCCACACACATTAAAATGGCCAGTGCGGATCTGATGCCCAGTCATAGGTTGGCCCCAACCGTGCAATTCTCCTCAGTTTGAAGCATTTTGGGCTGTCTCTCTTCCCCTTGTCTGCCTGTCCCAGCTACTGCAGTGGGACATCAGCCTGTGTGTGTCTTTCTCTCTTGGCTCCAGTTGGCACCTGTGCCTTGCCCAGTTGCCAGTGGGTACTAATCATAGAGTATTGGCAAAGCTATGTGGCAGCTGGCAGTGGAATTACACATGGGGCATCTGGCACCTCTAATCAACTTCTGTCAGGCAGAGGAGATGGAGACCTAATTAAATCAATGGTGCACTGATGCTGCCTCGCTCAAACACCACACAGCCATGCGGAAAGGCTGAGCCGTACCTGGAGAACATCCCTCACAGCCATGGTGGAGAGAAAAAACAATCCTTTCAGGGAAAAAAAAAACTCGTTTAATTTTGCTTTTTTTTTTTGCTTTGAATGCATGGTTCTCACAAGTATATATAGACTATGTGCATGATTTTAGAGTATTGTCTTTATGAGTAAATTATGACACTGATTATATTTGACACCGTTCCATCTGTAGTGATAGAGTTGTGTTTTGGCTTTGACTTCACTCTGATTATGAACCAAGCAGCCACCCAGTAAATTGATTCCTTAAAGGCCTCTCATTTCAGAAGTCTCGGATTCTCTAAGATTCTTGGCACACGCTTGTGTGAACTGTGCCTCTGGCTGGCCAACGGTTTGTATTTAAAGGGATAGTTCACCCAAAAATGAAAATTCTTTCATCATTTACTCACCATTATGTCATTCCATACACGTATGACTTTCTTTCTTCTATGGAAAACGGAAAGAGAAAATTTTAAGAAAAGTGATGGGTGTTGTTTTCCATGCAGCTACAATAAATGAGGACTAAGCTGAAAGAATAAAAAGCACTATAAAGTGTGTGTGTGAGTTTTTTGTTTCAAAGTCAGTATCGGAGAGCAATTAACTGAAAGTAACAGCATTTTTCAGTATCGTGTGGTCCAGTAGTTATCATTGCCCATCTCACCGGCACTTTTTTGCATTGTTGGAATGCTATAGTTAAGCTTCCATGAGGAAGACCCAGTCAAAGTGATCTCAACCACAGTTACTGGGCCTCTGCAATTAAACATCCAGAAGCTCTCTGCAATTATATTTATCATCAGAAACAATTAAACACTCACCGCCTGGGACATTACCCGTCCTGCATGGCACTCCGCAGATAAGAGGGATTAATCATTCCTCCCTACTTTCTCTCTCTCACCCTCCCTTTCAATTCATATGCAACAAATGCATTTCCATGTTTGGTTGTGTATTACTTCTCACCATATTGCCATGTTTGCATCATTCGTCAAAGGGGTTTTCCGTCTGTTTTTGAGGGAAAGAGGCAGAGTTATAATGCTATCTGCCAGTGAGCGTATGTGAAGCCCTGTGCGGCCGATAGATTGGAGGTGTTGATGAATCACTTGAAATGTTTAGCAGGCAATTCGTTGCTGCTCAGTATGCAGGCCAGTGGGCTGAACAGCACCCATCAGGCCCGATATTAAAAGACTCTGCTCGATCACATTAGAGGGAGCTGCCTATGCCTGCCCAATGATTAAGTCTATGGGAGGCATTTGTCACTATAGTTGAGGAAAAGTCAGACTTCACATCATACATGCATTCACCCTCTCTTTTAATGCAAATGCATGTATGTTGGGGTCCAAAAGTCTGAGACCACAAGGAAAAATCTTTCTATTTGTTACAAAATGATATCAGCTTAACAGTTTGCCTGTCCTTTTGCCTTAATGCACTTGAGCATTAAGGACTTTCACAAGTTTGTGTAAAACCTAATGATCATGTTATCCACAGCATAATTTCATGAATGATCCAAAAAGCAACTCGTGCTTCAACATAAACACAAATCTGATTAATGGCCTAGAAATATTTTTTAAATATTTCATATTTGTGATAAGTCTCCCAAGGATGCATCTATTTGATAAAAAAAAAAATACAGTTAAAACAGTAAATTGTGATTTATTATTAAAATATTTTGATATATTTTTAAAATTTTATTTATTTCTGTGATGGCAAAGCTGAATGTTGAGCAGGCTTCACTTATTCTAATTTGCTGATTTAGTGCTCATTTCTTATGTTAAAAGCTGTTGTGCTGCTTAATATTTTTGTGGAAACTGTATATATATTGAATGTTATTCTATTGAAAAAACACCCTTTGAATGTGAGTGTATATAATAATTTCTACATGGTCTCAGACTTCTGGACCCCACTGTAAATGTACATCCTTTATGCATTCATAGTCACCAACTTATTTTTTCCAAGCACTAGATTTGATGGAGGCTTTCTTCTTGAGTGGGCTGAGTGATCGTTCGATTTTGATAATGAGTCTCTTTAATTCTATTGACAAATGGGGTCACACTAGGTGATCAATGATAACCGCTCCAATTAAATTGCTAAACCTCTGCATGGTGGAGATTATAGCCATAAAGATATAGAGCAATTGGTTTGCTCAACAGCGGGGCGCCTTCAGTGGGCCATTTCACACAGATGTCTCTGTCTTTTAGGAGCTTCTGCTCACGATCAAGAAAAACAAGTCATCCATTTTACGGCCACAGGTTCCAAGATTTTTTCTCCCCCCTTGTCTTAAAGTGATGCCTTATTTAGCTTGTCGGATTTTCCAAATAAACGCAATCACTGGGTTTATGGAAAAATGGATAAAAATTAGATTGTAAGGTATTGATCCTGGCGTGGGGAGGGCTGAGGAAAAACAGGCCTCATCTATATAGGGAGAGAAATGAAGCAATAATTCAGGCAGGCATCGAACACCCTGCCACTGAGCCTATCGATTCCTATCCACAGCATATGAGATCACACCTGAATGAAAGAGAGCTCTGGGGAAAACAGAGAGAGAGAGAGAGAGAGAGTGGGAGAGAGAGTGTAAAACGGAGTCTGCCATTCCCTAACATATACAGAACATTACCACCCTGACATTAACAGCTCTGTACAAAGCCCACAAGTGCCTGTTAAAAGGTTCTGCTAAAGACCAATTACCCAGCATGCCTTTCTGCTCCATCAGTCAGGGATACTGTTCTAGCCCTGCAGGTCTATGTGTGGTCAGCTGATTCAATTCCTGGTCTCAAAAACAGGAAAGCCACAAATACCGTGTTCTCGCCAGTCTAAAAACTGCCACCCACATTCTGCCCTCGGGCTTCTATGCGAGATATTAAGTGTGGGATTTTTTGGTGGTGTAAGGTATTTTAAAACGTACTGTTTTGACTGGCTCCATCTGCTTTTGACAGCACTCAGTATTGTCTTTTAGTAGTGGCTCATTCCCCTTCTCTCCTCTCCTCTCCTCACCCCCGCGGGCCTGTAGTTATTATTGTGAAATATGAAGCGATCCGGCTGTGCCTTCATGAAATTTCAATGAGCATTGATCTGTGTGATTGCGAGGAATCCTTCAAGCAGTGGTTGTTGTTCATTTATTTATTTATTGCTGATATGTTTTACTCGTTTTGATCCCATTTTCTGGAGAAAAAGGAGAGCCGTTGATTGTTAATGTATTCCCTTTTTTTTGGAAAATCAGTTCTGTTCCTTGATAGTTTATTTGTTCACGAGGCAGAACGTTCAATTTGCGCCTCCAGGAGCTCCGTTTAGATCCGTAACGGCCCTATATTTGCCTATATCGATTATATTCATTAAACGTAACGAGATGGCATAGTATACGGCAGATATTCTGCTCTTTTCAATATTGATTTTGTAGATTTTGTTTCAGCTCATGACATCACATGTAACCTTTTCGTTCTCCTTCGCGTATGAAATTGGAGAGCTGCAATGAATCCGTGATGACATGAAACCGACTCTATATCATATATGTCGGGTGACTGGCCAGTGTTATTTCTGTCGTGAAACCGTTCAGTGAGCTCAGAAAGAAATGGAAACCACAGCTTGCGAGTTTCTGGAACTGTAAAAGTAAACAAGTGCATGGACAGT